AAAGCACCCCTTGTCTTTCTACCAATGACACTGATTACAATTTTCTAATACTGGGCCTGTTGGGACTTAAGTCAATCCAATTACCTTTGGCTGCCATGATTAGCTTGACGTGGCTGCAGGGTCCTTCCACTTTGTCTCCAGCACTGAAAATCTGGATCTGCGGACAATGAATGTCATGAGGCCTGGCTGGGATTGTGACTAAATACTGGCATAATCTTCAAAGCACATATGCCTGTCTTCTAATTGACAGCAATTTGTGATGATTTCAGTCAGTTTGGCTCTGCAGAAGATCCTGCTCTTATGTGGAAATAAGATTGTAACAAAAAAAACAAAATAACAAAAGTAAAGTGTTTGGTTCAAAACTCACTGGGTTTAGAGGAGGAGAAGCCACCCATCGAATCACAGCTTGTTTTCTTTTCATATATTTATGAAAGGGGAAATGCCTACAACAACAACAACAATAATAATAACAGTGATAATAATAATATTGATAAGTAAGTGACTTGGTCAGGAACACCATGCATTTAGCTGCCTGCTGACCTGAGATCAATTACGTACAATAGAATATATTTAAAAATAGACTCAAAGCCTTTTGTACTCAAGTCTACACTAGGTGTTAGGTTTTTTATTGTTTTATTTTGTTGTTTTGTGATATTTTGATATGATGCCATTACTTTAATATTATAATTGATTAAATTGCCATTGCCTTAAGGCATTTTGTACAAACATGTGTTGTTATATTTTTATGTTTTGTGTTAAGCACATTGAGTTTTTATGTAATGAAATATGTACAAAAATTGCCATTGTAATTGTCATATTAGGCTTGCAACATGTATTATTCTTTTAAATTGTCAATATTCATTCTTGTTTAATACAACATTCTATTTTTTATGAATGACGGGGCCATATGGAGTCAAAAAGAGCATAGAGCATAACAATTGGTATGTTTTACAATGTGACTGCTTTTGATTGGTTACTACTGTATGAGCATGATGTGGGCTATTTTTGTTGTTGTTGCTTTTTTGTCTGTTCAGTGAAGTGAAGAATTCCCAACAGCACAATTCTGGGGGATTATTACTAAAAGAGCAAGTTTGTCTGTTACAAAAACAAACATATAAAAAACAATCAACTTTTTTGTTTTGGCTACATCCACATTCATACATATACATATCTGTACAGCACTTTTATTCTGTTTTCCAGCTATCACAAGTTCAGCATTTTGCTTAATGACACTTTGACATACAGAGTGGAGGATCAGGGGTCTGACTCCCAAACCTTGGTAGACAACCCGCTCTGCCTCCTGATATCAAACACTTATTTGATGCCATTAGTATGACACTGACACTTCTTTGTCTGGTTCAGTTATCATATACAGTTTCTGGTAAATTATATAGGAATTAAATGTTCATATTAAACAATTCAAATGTTTATTAGATGACACAGCGCAAAATTACCATATAATGTTACTTCCTTAACACATAATATGGCATTAAATGCAAGTCCGCATTAAATGTTTAGAAATTACAGCCATTTTTAAACACCCTCTGTATTCAAGCTCAAACATAGCTAGACTATTGATAAGCAGTTTCATGCCCTGTTTAAGGACAAGTCAAGCAGAAAATCTCTTAGTTGACTTTGAGCATTAAAATAACAAGCAAAGAATCCCTGTTGGTGAATGATCATGTAAAGTGTTAAGTGTTGAGGAAAAACACAAACAAAAAAAAAGGAACACTCTCAATCAGGTAAGCATAGCATTGTTAACATCTACAATCTAGAGGCACCTGTATAAATGTAAATACACAGATTATATAACAAGCTGCAAACTACTGGTTCCAAAACTGATCTGGCAGTGCTCCCCAGTGCCGGTGTATATTGATTCAAAGCATATTGCAAAAGCAAACCAGGAGTTTCTCAAGACAAATAAACTGAATGTTCTTCATTTTCACCTGATATCGACACAACAGAACATGCTTTCAGTTGTTAATGCAAAACAGCTTGCAGAAAAACTCTCAAACAAGCATGGGAATCAATGACTGAAAATAATTTTCAAATGGAGTTTCAAATATTATAATCCTTTTATTTAAATTTATATTCGTTTGTACCTTTTGAGCCTCTGAAA